TATGATAGTATGTTTCATAGTCAATAAAGTTTCACTGTTCCATAAAAACGCTACACATTATCATTCTAATGAATTGCTCAGTCAGCAGGTTACGAGAGTCACTGAGATGGCTAAAGTAAAACAATAATGTAACTAAGAAACCATGTGTTTATTTGTGCTGACTGACTGACTAACAAAATCAACGTAGAACCTTGCACACAAGTGCATCGCCTCAAGTTACCACACTTCAAAGCAGTACGAAAAGGTAGATAGAAAAACAAAGATTCCTAAGTAGGCAAAGTTGTGTCAATGAAGAGATTACACAATCTGAAGGTAACCATAAGTGCAAATATTCAAGCTTTTAGATATCAAAGAGTGAACACACCTGCGACCGATTTTCAGCCATGTCACCTCAACCATTGATTCCTATTGTCTCGGAGACCCCAACCAGGCAGTCTACATTTCAAATCCTGCTCAGACCAACAGTAAGAGACTTTATGGATTGATGGCAGGTCTTGGTGTGGTCACCCTGAACCCTCCTTCAATCCAATCCAACTTCCTGTAGCATGGCACATGGAGGTGGGTGGTGTCTCGGCATGCACAGTGTATGTACAAGCCATCTGAGTCGACTAACGTTCATAACCTTATCAATCAACCTGCCTGTCTTACCTAGTAGTGTAGTAAACAATGAACAACACTATCGTATCCCAATACAAAGTGAATGAGAGGAACAACTGATCAATGGTGTACGGTGGAGCTGTGACTCATTAGTTTAGGCAGCTAACTTTTAATCAGTGCGTCACAAGTTCAAACTCCGCTGCACCCACCGAGGTTTGGGCAGCCAGACAGCGTCATTAGCACTTATCTAACAAATGTCCTTCGTTGTCTACTGCAGGAACACGCACATGGTTATTGATTGGCATTTCAAATTCAAATCAGTAGTGATGACCGTAACTTCACTACTATCTGTTCACACTCAGCGAAACTCTGACCAGTTTACGTCCAGATTTCTAGGCATCTTTATATTTTTCATGTGTTATGTGACATACATTACCAATCACTGTGCGCTAATGGAATACACTGCCTTCTCTATGAGTCAGCTAGTGTGATGTTGTTGGCAGTAGGATCAGATTTTCATATAACCTGGGTAGAAACAGATGGGGTTACGATCAATAAGATAAAATATACCGTTAGGTCAAGAACATGCAACGCCTAGTGTGAGGGAGAAGGATAGTACTTGGCCGCCTGAATTCGATAGATGGAGCGGATTTCAAACTCGTGACCCTATACTAACGAGCCACAGCTCCACTGAGCATCAGGTATTACTTTTTTTCCTCTTGGGTTCCTAGTGGAACATAGGGCTTCAGTAGCACGTCTCCATTTCACTCTCTTCTCTGCAGTCTTTTGAACCTAGCGCCACGACTGCCCACAAGCTTTCATTTCTTCCTCACATGATCTCCTCCATGTCACCCTCGGACGCCCAACTCGTTGTTTCCCATTTGGATCCCACTTGAGGGCCTGGCAAGTGATGTCCCAGTCGCCTTCTCAGTTTATGCCCAGGTAGTGATCTCTATTGACCGTTTGACGAAAATTTCGGGTCCAAAACAAACAGCTAAGTGACAGTATCTTCTACCTTTAACAATATGTAAATTGGTGAAATCTGACTGGAGAAATCTACAAATCAATGTGAGTGGCATCTTAATACTAGTGTTATTCAACAGTATATTTCGGTGGTTCATGACACGTTTGAGATCACAAGGTGTGAACCCTGTGAAACCTATAGATCAACCCGAGTGATTTCTATCTACTCATGTTTTTTAGCAGTATATTTTATTGAAAAGATAAACGTTTGCATCCTTGAAACATTTCACAATTCAGTTACAACATAAATCATCAGGCAGCATCAGTAAGTAGTAACTGATATCCGTCGCACAACAGGTGGCTCCAATGCCTTAGGGGCCTAGTGGGTAATGTGTTGGCGTTTGAAACAACGGGTACCGGGTTCTAGTCTCAGTGAGAACACAATCATTCACTGGGGTCCAGGTACACCCAGCTGACGAGTCCCAGATAGGATGAAACGCGAATGCTAGATTCAACTGCTAAGCAGTAGGTAAAATTATAATATAGCAAATATTCAGGCAGTATCTGGACGTCCACACAGAAGCCCATCTGCCCACATAAATCGAGTAGTTCAATTCAGCATAACAATGATAGCTATAAGTATCAGTAAAAGTTTGTAAACTAGGTCTGCTAGCATAAACGTTAACAAAAACAAAATCTAAGTTAACCAGAGATCGGATGTTAACCGTTTCTACACACTTGACGTTTTGATCCTTCTCTTTTGTACTTAGAGCAATAACTAAGGTGAACATGTGAGAACTAATAGATTTTAAAATAAAAGTATGACACAAAATAATCCGAATGCAAAATAGCATACACACACACACATATATATTGTTCCTAATATGCATTATATGTGCATACATCAAGTTCATTACAATTCACAGACAAATACAAGTTGATACATGCATGTGAAATGATAGATGAATATTCACAGTAGGTGTCTGAAAAAGTCTAATCCGTACATATAATAGACTCTTTGAATAATTTACGAAAAAATGCACTATTGTATTTATACTGGGTGGTGGTCGCTGGTTCGAATCTATCTGCTGTCCAGATTTTCATCTCACCTTCAATCATCACCTAGTATTAATACTAGTCTGTCAAACTAGGGTTATCTCAGATAGTCAAATGATAAGTGCTATTCTATACCAACAAATGATTATGTAGACCAAAGAATTGTAACTTGCGCTTTCAATGAAGCCTAATTACAATGCAAAAACTGTTGAATAGTAACATGATTGTCAGTAAGCTTGAAATTCTAAGGTATACATAGAAGACAGTAGTTTACACTTTTCACTATAATTCTTAAGCAATCATTTAGAATATACTATTGAAAAAAAAAAGTGCTCCAGTCATGCAAAATGTCATAGTAACAACCTTTATTTATCGTGTCTGTCTTGAAAAGTGCGAAAATAAATGAATAAATGTTTTTTAAGATCATTTTTTGTACAAACTAATAGCAAGTAGACTTAAAACAATACGATGGTTTCCACTATATGCAAACAACCTTAGAAGTAGTTTCATGTAGATGCTTTAGATTTCAAGAACTAGATATATTTAACGCCAGAAAAACGTCCTTGAGAATACTATTCAGCCTGACTGAAAAAGGGAGAACGGAAATCGATCTTCAGTTGAATAAAGAAGACTTTTTGAACTCAGGCCACTCAGCTCCTTTTCAAAACTCATTTAAAATCCTTTACAGGGTTCAATCAAACCATTCAAAGGGAGTATGATCAAGGCATTTGGGTATACCTGAAGCACTAGTAATTCAGAAGTTCAAACCAGCGTTATGTATCCAAAATAGGTACGTTCAACCTTTATCCTGGTTACTGCTATCACATATAAAGCTTTGACTGTCATAGATTTATCCTGATGTATTACGTAATTATACGTTTTACTTTCATAATCTTTTTTTATTTTCTCACTTCAAACCCTTATTTGTATTCATTAATTTCTTTTCGTTATTCAATCTATTTTGCCCTTGACCGGAAAGAATTCTGGAATCTTCTTCTACCTACTGCAACATATATCCGCGAATGTACAGCTTAGTAAATGACTTCATCGAGGGCTTTAACTAGTTCGCTAATAATATCAATCCCCTCAAAAATCAAACAATGAATTCTCTGGATATGGAGTAAGAATACAGCTGTTGTCAAGCAGAAAGAATTTGGTAGAAAACTACTTTCTATTCCTAGTTATTTTGTGCCATAATTTCATCAATGAGTATCTTTTTATATCCTCCGAAAGGATAAGTATTGAAGAATTGCAACATGAAAATAGTTCCTTATATGTTAATCCAAAATTCAAAAACGTTTTAAAACCGATACAATTTTCACAAACTAATCATCAAACACTAACCCAAATCTCCGTTGGTAAATGAATATGAGGTAGGTGTTGTGAAGTCCTAATGGCATAAACCACATAATGTTTAACGACAGATGTCCATCGACGACATTAGGTGTTTGTGCTATACCACGAATTAATAACAATTGGAAAACGAGAAACGTTGGATTTCAATTCATGGTTGAAGGGCAGTGTATTCACCAAAGGATCCAATGGTTTGCATTCAAACCTGCATGCAACGACGGGACCACTCCGCTGATGAGCTTCAGACTGCTACGAAACCGCTATCTAATGCTTGCTGCTTGGTAGACAAAAGCTAAATAACTTTCATTTTTGATAGTAACCACGCACGAGTAATTCGTATTCCTGGAGCTATCCCTTTCATAAGAAGTTTTTACCTTTCCTTTTACACAGCTATACGGAAAGTATGTATATTTTACGATTCTTTTGTCAAAGATACTGAAGCTTATTTGTATATCAGCAATAATCCTACGTGTATGAAGTACTTAGAATCTACAGCCTCGAATAAGCACTTTGGAAAAATTTATTATACAATACTACACAACGATACAATAAAAAGTTAGACTGATGTCAGTCTACGATGAATAAAAACTTGGAAAAATTAGTAGTCGGATTCAGAGAAAAATGATGCTAGAAACATTTGTGAGAATAGAATTCAGATTTTCATGTACCTTCCGGCTAAAGCATCGGAAGAGATATGCCAGACCAAATTTTATGGGGAATAGCACAATTCTTAAAGCATTATCTGACTAAGTAGTCACCTTGATGTTTACGAGACTGATATCCTAACTAAATCAAGTACTTAAAGGTTGCTCACTTATAGCGTCTTCAACGCATCCAATTCAGAACAGTAACGATGTAAATTTGTACTAAGGATACTCACATTTGAAACGATATTACAATTTCATCAGGACACACATTACTCTCTTCGTACAGTCAAAAGTTTATTTACTTCATTGAAATTAAAATTAATTAAAATGATAGGAACAACAGATATTTTCACTGTCAGAAATTAAAAAGATATGAAAACTTACATCATTCTTCACCTTTTCTTCTTCAATTTCTTCAGAATACCATCTTAACTGATCAGTTTTCGGCAGTATGGATCGGTGATCCCCTAGCTCAGTAGTTGTACTATTAATCGTATTCGATGATGGTATCCAAACAACTCCATCTGCAGCCATTTTAGCTACAACTAAATCATGTGTTTCTATTGGATCAGCTTGAGCGTAGGATGCCACTGAATCAAGATTTATTCTGTTCATTTGACTACATGAATCTGCTGAATGAATAGAAGGCGAGGATGGTGTAGTCAATTTTTTAACTGTAACCTGTACTCGATTTGTGCTGCAATGTGTTGGGTTATTCATCAAATTATTGGATGAAGTAGATTGATTCGGTGGAAGTACAGCAGATTGGGTGGCTTTTAATTGAAATTTCCGATTTTTTGTCATATCTGATGGGGTTAGTAGATTTGGAACAAAATACTGATTTCTTCTTGAAGATGATTTCGTACTTCCCAAATCAGAAGTTGAAAAACACGGACTATTATTTGTAATACTGCAGTTAGGCATACTACTATTAGTTGAATGAGAGACAACTATTTCAGAGTGTGATGAAAGATTATGTTGCGATGATGCTGTAGAAATATTAGCAGTGTTTTTTACCTCCAAACTGTTTGATATAGTAGGTGACTAGTCACTTTGTTCGGTGATCGAATCAACTAAAAGAAGATGAAGTAGAGAGTACATTTCAACCTTAAGTCTAGCAACTGACGTCGTAATAATATAAATCTTAAAGAACAAATCATTCAGAACTGTGTATTGTATAAGTAGCCTGAACAAGTAGTCAGCAACGGATGTACAAGTTCAGATATATAACTCAAATATTGTCTCTACAGACTGGATTCAATTGCTGTCTGATGTAATTAAATGCAAAAAAACAGTAATTTTCTCATAATTAGAAAAAAGACTGATTCAGCGAAGAAATATATTCCTTTTCAATTACGTCTTCATCTTTGGCTCTACGATAACATACATACAGGTTTACAATTCAATCAAAATACCAACCAAGTGACGAGGCGTTGATGAAAAATAACTATAGATTTTAAGTCATAAATATGACAAGTTTGAGAAATCAAGAGAGTAATTACATGAGATTAAAAGCGGTAACTACAATGATGTGTAACAGTACCGTACTCCTCCAATCCAAGAGGAACCTGCTTAGTAGGAATGGCTAATCAGCCAAGTTTGTGACTAAGCATATGAATGTTACAAGGGTAAAGACAAGAAAGACGACAGTTCCTAAGAAGCAAATCTTCTTGAAGCTGAAATTTAAGAGTGACACTGCCAGTGAAATTATCACACAACACATAAAAAGAATCTTACAAAAAGCATTCCAAGCCGCTAAATTATGCCACATCTTCTACAATTGCGCGATTGTAGATGCAAGAAATAAACACAAACGCTTGATTCTGCCATCTCCATGTGCATTTATCAATTCAAATGTTCCTGTGGAGCTAGTTACATTGGCCGTACAATGAGGCACCATCCATCATCGCTGTACAAGCGATAGATTAGAACAGTAAAGTGCTCCATACTAGTACAGTTAGTTGACGCTGAACATCAAGTGGATACTAGAAAAGCCTTTAAAATTATTCATCGCATTCCAATTAATTTACCATATGGACTATGCATTCGCTTACTTACATAGCATGGGCGATTCCAATCCACCTTTCTACTAATATTCATTCACTTTCTTATTCGTAAGTAATTATTTATTATGACTTACTACTCGAAAAAAACACTCCATTTACTTTACCAATTACGATGTCATTTGCCCAAAAATGACCTGTTTCACGCTATCATAATAACCATTTTCGATCTTGTATAATTACTTCGTTGATTATTTGCATCTTGATTTTCCAAACTTATTATCTTCATGACTTACTTTATCACCATCAAGATCAATAAAGGACTAGACATTACTGAGCAACGGTCCAAGTTGCCACACCTCGTATCAGCACATCAAACAACAAGGCAATAAAATGGAAGATGAAGAAGGAAAGAAAAATCGGTCAAAGGAAGTAGAAGTAGGAAGTAGTAATAGAGAGGAAGGAAGGATGAGAAAATGAGATTAGGTATAGCGGTTAATGTGAGGAAAAGGTGTATGTGTGCGGTATACATCTGTGCCACTGACATCAGTTCTGAGCTATATCGCCTAGTGTCTCCAACCACTGGTTTGTCTTGTCCCACGGACCCCAACCCGGCTAGTCAGTATCGCCTAACATGGCTCAAACCAACAGTCAAAGACCTCATGCATTGATGTCATGTTTTAGTCTGGTCACTCCGATGGACCAACATTGTGCTACGAGGCAGACGGCGGTAAAACATACGTAACACATGTCCCAGTCATTAGTACCAAGAAACACAATAGTTTCTTTCTTCAGCCATCTCAGTCGATGAAGGTTCACAACAGCATCAGCTGTATTAACTCTCCCGCTTACTTAAATCTGTAATTATTGTTTATCAACCCCTCACCCACTTGATTAGCGTCTTGATTAAATTGTAAACCTATATATATATATATATATATATATATATATATATATTAGTGTAAAGCCAAAGACAAAGACGTAGTTGAAAAGAAATACAATTCTTCACTTAGTCAGTCTATTTTTTTAATGCCTAAAAGAAAATTTTCTCACAATTTGCAGAATCCAGAAGTTCACAATTATTGAGTACATGATAAGTGGCGGTAAGTAGCAAAATTCCAGTCACATACGTTGAGAAAGTAGGTAGCAATCAAAACTAAAACTGCATGAAAAACCATAACAAAGGCGTAACTACTGATGCGCCATTACCTCGAAATCTTTAACGAGTGTTAACCTACCCCCAAATTCTATAATTAGCTGAAAAAGTTCAATTTTCAAAACATTCTGGAAGAAAATTTGATAATGGATTTCATGCGTTCCACAAATCATACAAAGATCTTAAATTATCGAGTGCTTTCTTTTCAAAAATATATGGATCAGTAGTTGGAATTGAAAACATTAGCTCTTGCATCCAGCAGTTGCATAATGTTCTGTCGGGAAACAAGAAGCTACTTTCGTAAGATGAGAGTAATTTCCCAAGAAAAGGATTTGCTTCCTTATCCCAAAATGATCCTCAGATGGAGTTTTCTCTACCGATATCACTCCGTGAAATCTTAGTATTCCATGTGTCATGATTAGCAGAGTTAAAACAAGCGTGAAAGTAATTTACTTTTGTAAAATACTTCAAATTCATCTTGTTATTATTATACTGAAATCTAAATCTAACTATTTACCTGTGGAATGCGTGAAAGCTTTGCACGATAATCCGGTGAATTATTGCTTTTACACTGGGAATCAGTATGCACTGGTGTTTTTGATATCATACTGTTTTGTGCTTCAGGATTCGCTGGTTCGTCATCTAGACTGTCTACTTCAATATCAGACATCTACACAAAACAGAAAGCAGACATGACAAAAGATCGATTGGAGGAAAACAAATTTCAGAAAAAAAGTCTAATGTAACTCCAAAAGATGCCGCTGTAAAACATGAGTATACAATAAAGCGGCAACGGTAAATTATAACTCAGAAGGATGACTTTGGTGGATGAACTAAAAACAACCTTCATCGACAAGCCATCACCTGAGAAAACTCTGGAGGTTATTAGGCATAGAATGCCTCTTGTCCAATTCCAAATATTTTCATCAATCATATTTTTTGTTTTCCTACGAAATGACCAGGTCTTCTAGTGGTATGTAACAGCGCCTAGAGTAAATTTTGTATGTACGGATATGGCTCATTGGTTTAACCACTCCACTTTCAGCACCTGAGTCAAAAGTTTGAACCCTACTTCGCCAACCGATACCTAGAGAGTCTGGTAGCGTCACTAGACTCTACACCATAGGTGGGTTTCATTACCTAGCGCCCGAACAAAGGGGATACCAGTATATTATCACAAACTGACTGGAATTGGAAAAACCAGGAACTGTTTGGTTGTAACCTATTTAACTAACGGTAATACACTTAACAGACAGTTACACAAATAAACGCAAAACATGGCACAGAAGTGTATCAATTCCAGGTACCATACCTCATAGCAATATGCAAGAAGTGGATCGAAAAAAACAAATAACATCAAAATGGATGAGATGAGAAGTTATAAATAGATAAAAATTAGTGAAAATATTCAACGCTACAAAGATGACTAAGAGCACATACATCTGTGCTATCGTGATAGATTTTAAACAACATCACCAAATGCATGTAACTATTGATTCCTATTGTTTCGAGGACTCCAAAAATTAACTTCTCTACACGTTTTAGCAAGAAGGTAAGAGGTTCAAACTTTGACTCGGTGAGTATACTCCATGTAACTTCATACAAATTTCTTGATAAAGACCATACGTACCGATATCATATTAATATTGAAACTGATTTTGTTTTTATATATTGGACACTAAACTAATTAATTAGTTACATCTCTTCGAATCCCGTGATGTTTATCTTTTGGCATACCTGTCGTTGACGTGTGTTCAAGTGACACGTGCTGGTTACGACAAGGCCTATAACGTTCTGGTCAAACAGAGGTGATATCTGCTCATATAGTCCGATTCACGTTGGAACGCGTTTAGAACGAATACCGTTGTGCACACTCACAACCCAAAAGTGGTGAATCTGACGTGATCTTATCTTCTACACCGGACTAGACTGTGGTGGGGTGTATCTACTCTGTTATACTATATATATATACTATGATGTATTGTGTTATTGTACGGTTAGAACACGTCATACATACGAGAAATCAATGACATGCTTTTTCACAGAAGCTGTTGTACGCCAGTAATTCCAAAATTTAAAAAAATGGATGACTTATTCAACCACATTTTCAAGAAATACATATACATATACCAGCTAAACATTTCAAAAACTGTTCCTGAAAAATCAACAAAGATAGCTCATAAACAAAGGCATTTAGCCATTAAGCGGAGGTTTAGAAGAGTTGCCAGAGAAATCCTTTTTATAAAAGTGAAATAAAAAAAATGGAAACATAAAGACTATAAGACAAAATAAAAGTCAGGCCTATGTCAAAATACTAGAGATATTTACACACTGCTATGTACAAAACGTATTTATGCATTCATAAACGCATATTGTTGTTGAACATATGTGTGAAAACAAAACAAATATACTTGATTAAATTGAAAGTCAACAAGCATAGTTACTCAGTAATCCAATCACCCTACACCTGCAGACCAAATAATATTGGCTCGGGATCTAGTGTTATGAAGCATATACACCTACGTATCATTCTCATGGGTTGGACATACCACGCCACCACCTAGCTCTACGTGCCATGCTACAGGAAGTTGGATTACGTTAGGAGATGGTTCAGGGTGGCCACACCAAGACCTGCCATCAATCCATAAAGTCTCTTACTGTCGGTCTGAGCAGCGTGAGAAGATACAGACTGCCTGGTTAGGGTCACCGAAACGAAAGGAATCAATGGTTTGGGACTCTTAGTGACATGACTGAAAATCGGTCACAACGTCGCAGAAGTATTCACTTCTTGACATCTTCTAAGAGCTTAGATATTTACACCAACCATTGTCTTCACTGACACAACTTTGTCTACTATGGAATCACTTTTTCTATCCACCTGTTCTCTGTATGCTACCGTGCAGTGTGGTAACCTGAGTGTGATGTTCTACATTGATTTTGTCAGTCAGTCAGTCAATCATCTTCCTCGAAATATCATGAGTATTCTTATTCTCTATCACTTTCTTAGTGCCATCTTTGTCTACTTATTTTAACCTACTTGCCACTGCTGATAATCACTATTATCATTATCACCCGTAATTCAACTGAAAATTGTCTACTCATTGAAATAAATTCAAAACCGAATCGAATCTAGGTCATTTCAATATTCCTCTAAAGTTACCGACTTCTTAATCACACCAGTGTACGATGACAAAATCATTCTACACAATCCAATTATATATTCCTATTTTGTTTTAAGTCAACTGTTCATCAGTCTACATTAGAATACGTCCACTTATTTCAGTAGTATACTCTAACACTAGTGAGTTTTAGTGTTGCTGCTTGAATTATCCCATCGTTGATTGAACCGAATTGATCGGTCTCTATTGTCGTATGGGCTTCTGTGGGCATGCTTCAATACTGCCTATGTTTTAATTATATATTAATGATGGATAGTGGCTAGTAGTAGTATCCAGGATGCGCGCCTCGTCCTACTTGAGACTCGTCAGCAAGTACATCCAATTAACGAGTTCCGAATAGGACGAAACGCACGTCCTAGATTCCACTGCTAGCCACTATCCATCATTAATTAGTATACCGGGTTACTTTCTCCTACACGTTTTACGTAATCAAACTGGAAACAGAAGAAGAAAAGTAACTAAACGTACTCCATTTGTCTCACGTTTTCCTTCCAGTCGCTGGTTAGTACAAGTTTCGCGCAGACATGGATCAAGTTTTATTGTCGGGATATTCATCGTTTGACTTGGTAGACAGTTTTTATTTTCAGTTAATGGAGTGCTTGTTCTACAATTCTGATCGAATAATGCACCAGAATAGACTTGTGCTTCAAATTCTTGAAACTCTTGAATTAGGCTGTCTGTAGTAGATATTTCGCTTCCTGACGGATCAACACCACAATGTGTAGGATATATGTGGATGCTCATCTGGCCTCCGTTTTCTATCCCAGAAGGAAATACGCTACAACCTTGAACGACAAAATGGTGGCAAAAGAGACCACTATGAGAAAGGAAATTTAATCTGAAAAATGTGGAGCAAATATCTCACAAATTGGGTTTAGAAATATTTCACAGAATTTTCCGAAAGATACACTTGGTAAATTACAAATACGAAACTTCACACTCATTAGTATTACAGGTTAAATGTTGTATGAAATAAAGATATCACTCAACTGTCTAAACTTAATTATATGATGCACTCTTGTACAAGATGGTCGAGTCCAGCTCCTCCTAGAGGTGTTAACGACGAATTCTGCAAACCCATATAAACAGAGGTCAATGGATTAAGTTTACAAAAACTTGGCGTTTTACTAGAATACAAAGTAAAGGTGGGTCTGTGGCTCAATGGCTCGTGAGTTCGACCCCCACTTTACCCATTAAGGTTTGAGCAGTCAGGTACTACCACTAGTTCATACACATTATCTCTGTGCTTACTGCACAAGTATGGACAAGGAGGCTAAGTATGGTACCTGAAAAGCTGACAGAATGTTAGAAAGCTAGGGCTTCAGTAATTTTGAGACTTCCTCGATAGGTCCAGAAAATACACTTAAAACATGTAAAAACATCAAACTAAAGACAATTCAGTAAATTTAGCAATGAAGACGTTTGAGTGTCTGTTAACATTGTAAATGTGGTCACATGATTTCGCCTGTTTCTAAAGCCAACTGGAAATAAACTCCGATGAACACACCTCTTCCCGAGAAAAAATTAGCAGTAGACTTTAGTAATCTAGCAAATTTATACCTATGCATTCGGAACTTAACACTTCAGTTTCGATTTTTAGACTATTGCCGACTCTCCCGACCGTAAGCTGCTACCTTGACGTGGTAGGCAGGCTTGCATATCACAATGAACCGATGAGCTAGTTGAACGCTTGTTCCTTCTAGATCTTACCGTGCCAGAAACGTCTGTTGGATAGCGGTAAGACGAAAAGTAGCTACCGTTGTATTGTGAATTACTACACTACGATGGGCGTCTGAGGGCGAAGTCATACTGCTCCTGGTTGGATGGCATGTGACACCAGTAAGATGTTTCCCTTGGATGACCAGTAGTGTCATGCTAATGCTAATGCTAACGGAACGGGGGTTATAAAAGGTCGGCCACAAAAATAATACCCTCACCCCCGCTGCCCCACGGTCTTTCACAGCCAGCGGTATGGGTTTCTCCTATCCGGCGTTAGAGCAACCAAACTCTGAAGCAACTTGCGAAATGTCGTGTGTGACAGGTCTCAAACAGACGTCCCATGGGTCTTACAGTTACACAAATAATTTCCTCTTCCAGGTACCTTAAAGCAAATAGCCTTCCATGGTGTGGGCACTTGGGAAGTGTCAACCCCTACTCGCTTCAAGCAGTACATAAAAGTCAACCTAGAATAACCTATCCTCCTCAACTCTGTTTCCTTCTTTGCCTTCTCCTCCTGATAATAATGTTATGCCCCTTACGCCTTAGGCAACCTCTCGCTTTGCATACATAAAAAACGATCAGATACATCAAAACCTCATTTCCCAGTCTCCTGAGACCCTGCTATCGCTTTCATGTAGGAGCTTTCAACGTCCGAATTCAATACCAAAATGGACATCAGGCATCGCTCACCAGAACTCTGGAATCTTGAACCACGAATGTATGTTGTGTCTCCGATTGCGGTTATTAAATTGACCTCACCTGACCAAAGCAGTAAATCTTCCTAATTCACTATAATAGTATCCAGAGACCCAATGGCCAGCTCCCGTTGACTCGCTCGTGTAGGCATACCACTGAGTTGTAGGGCGAAAACTGCGCTTCTCAAATACACTCCAGTAAACAGCCGTGTATGTGCTGTTCGACTGAATGGATCCGTAAGGACAAGGAAGGATCGTGAGACCCAGCTAAGCTTATTCGTAATCTATGCCCACGCGCTAACCGACTCCAGTTCCAATGATGCAAAGGACGAATCCTATGAAAGGCTACAGAAAGCAAAACCTTCAAATGTATTCCTAATGGCAGGCGATTATACCGCTCAAGTAGGGAAGCTGAATCATCCGAAAAGGCATTTTAGGGGCATTTCCCAAATCCTGTGCTAACTGACCGACAACGATGATCGTCTGTTACAATTTTAATCTGCTCGAAATTAAAATGTTTAAATCAATGAATCAGGACTCTACTTTTCGAAGTTTAGGTTGGATCAACAAGTGAAACAATGAGAAACAGTTCATCGCTCAGAATTTCACAACTCAGAGTGAATACAGTTCCATGAAATCTTATCTACGACATATAATCCTTCAATTTGGAGGTGTGGGGACCCATTTATTGATTTCAGTTTGGTATTCATCACTAGCTGACATCAATTGGTGCAGGCAACCATGTCAGGTGTGAAGACAGTTATTCAACAACAGCATTAGATGGAGGTGGTGCTGTATCCTGAACTGATAAAGTAGGGAATGTGGATCATTGAATTTTGGCCGTGTGGCTCAATGGTAACGTGCTGGCCGTAGAACTTTAAGGTCGTGGAATTCGATCTGTGGCTGGGCGAGGTCATAGCTTTACACTGTTGAGGAGTCAGTCCCATATACTAGGACGAGACAGTTGTGCAGTACTGTTGGGTTTCTTATGCTTCTCCACATAATCTTCCAGTCAGTGTAATGGGAACCTGTAGGTGAGAGTTCGTAACTGTACGAAGTCATGCAAATATATGTACATAACATGCAAAACGAGGTATTTCTTGTCCAATTTCTCTCACAGCCTATAATCTAAATCAATATTGTTTGTGGAACATCACTTATTGCATAACATGAATCCCATTTGTGCATTTCGGATAGATAGACAGAGAGACACACAGACACAGACATACACTGTCAATACTGATAATGAGTAAGGTTCACATCTTACCTTGGTTATTATGTATATGTGTGTATACATAGATTTTATGGTGACAAGATTTTGCAATGGTGTCATTGTTTTTACACATTCCTTACATTAATCTTCCACTTGAGCATAATTAGACTGTGTGTACGTTGCAACAGGGGAGAGAGGTGGGGTGGGGTGGAACGAGGAAGGGTAGAGCTTATAGATGATTTCACGTTGATATGAGAACAAAAGTAAGGTTGTCAAACTTCATAGTCTGAGTTCACATATACACTTCTCAGTTCGAATGAATTGCCCCGTGTATTTCATCTCACAGACTTTTTATAACTTGACTAGTTTAAGAGCTACACACAGTAAGACATCTAAACATTGGATCGATGTCGTTTACCTTTGCTCATTTTCGTTATCATTTTATGTTTGTTAAACTAATCAAAATAACATGTGTGTACAGAGTCAGTTATTTACTTTTCTATAACTTCGCAGTGTGTCGTTGACATCATTCATGGAGTGGAGTTGTTCTCTTTCATCCTTCAAACAGTCGAGGTGAAATGAATAATTCGCATGGTGGTGGTGGTGGTGGCTAACTGTGGAAACCAGGATGCACATTTTTTTTATTTATTTGTGACTCGTCAGTTGGATGTGCCTTCATTCCAGTAAGTAATGGTGTTCGCACCGAGACTCGAAACAGGCACCCTCGTCTTGTGGAACGAGTATCGGTTGTTAGTTTCTGGTACTTGCTATATGCTGGTCGTGATACCAAATATAATTGATCTTTCTCTGTTAGCATAGAGATTCCTTTGGGATGCCTACATATTGTCTGAAGGTCTGAAGGACAGGAAGATGACTTTATGTTTCGCCACTACTGATTATTTATGAGAAATCCTCTGCTTGTTAGATGACGGGACGTAGGTTTTGTGTGTGTTGGTTCTTACAGTAAGCGTTATCAGCAACCATGGGGAAACTGGTGTTCCCTCGATAGTCCGAAGTGGTGTCATTCAGTGCTGAAGTCAGAGAATCAACCATCAAGTCATTTAGGATGCGACTGCTTATACTACTTACTCTCCAACAAATAAATCCTTATAATTTTGGTATGTAATGGGGAGGTGAGTAGCATTTCAAATCATATGTACAGAATGTGATTGCTATAGTAAAGATAGAATTATTGCATAACCAGTGAATGCATAAACAAAACGGTTAAAAAATGGCATTCCATTGAGTAAGCTTCCTGATGGTCGGTTAGTCTCTATTAGTTCCAGCAATACGCCTACTTAAGTGAAAAATTCAGGCTGAAGCAAACCTAAGGGGCCTAAATATCTTTGTCAGTCACCAAAGTGATGAAACTGTATGCTAGGCAATGAAATTTCGGCACTGTGGTTAAGTATAATTCGACTATGATTCTTTCTTTTTTTAATGAATCATACAGGCGAAGTTTCAGTTACTGTTGAAGTTTTGAACAGAAGATACTACTCATAATTCCAGGAACTGTACCTCTGACTCTTACATATCAACAACTAGACCTGTCACCTGTGATCGTTGTGTCTCATCATTGATTTCTGGAAGTTGCTTTTGCGTTAAATGATCAATTTATTAACTAGGCTGTATGAAATTACCTTGGCTGACTAATTGATGTCCTCTGAATTTGGAGGTTTGTGAGGATTTATTTATTGATTCCAGGCAGATATTCATCATGGACTGACATGAGTTGTAGAAAGACTGGAGACCTGGGTGTACTGTTCAGCTGTTTCGTCCTAGTATGGGACTCTTTAACAGTGCACATCCACTAGGGATCGAACCCATGACCATTAGGTTCCGTGATCAGCGCGTTATCATTGTGGGTGCTAGGTTGGAATTCAATGCTTCTCCAACGAAAGTCAGTCTATGACGAATATCAACGTGGTGTCGTCTTAGATAGCATAAATGGCCGAAGTTTTCAGAAAGTTTAGGTGAAGTTAGACATTGATTCAGGCTTTTTTGAAAAATTCATTCATTACAATCGTCTATACCACCGTCACTTAACTGGTAAGCCCTTAGTTAGAGAGTCATTTTCTCTTTAATAAGAAGGATGTGTTTTCTTACTTGTAGTTGGT